TGTAGGGATGCATGGCCAACTTCAAATATTTTCATTTCCCGCCAAAGTCAAACGGCCAAAGAAAAGTCAAAGCAAAGTCAAAAGGGCCATAGATCAAATTTAGTTTATATATTGTATATGTTTTATTATATTTGTATCAATATGTAGTATCAAGAATCTCATTTTGAATGGCTGGTGATAAGTATTTGTTTCTGATTGTGCTGTTTTGCAGATGACTGTTCAATAACTCTCCGTGCTTTGCACGATAATGCAAGAGGGCTACGATATTGCTTTTCTCGGCATCATGACCCCTAATAGCAATGTTCTGTCTCCCGCACAAAACGAGTGTCTCAACTAGTGTTTTGAGAATTGAACGATTTCTCTCAACGGTTGCCTTGTGCGCATTAGAAAATTGGCAACAAATATTATCCTGTTTATGACTGACAATTGTTCTATAATTCAAAGATTTCTTGGCACAAAAGTGATGGGAATCAAGTTTGGTATGTCTCTTAACAAGTGTCCCGATATTGGCCCATGGAAAATATTGAACCCCGATATTTTCGCCCTTGCTAATGAAGCTTAGTCATTTTTATATTTACTGAAGCACTGGTAAGATATTCACAAGGTGACTAAATATATAATCTCATTACACAACACAGTTTTGCAGCTTAAGATGATCAGTGTTTGTTGGAAAACCCATCTCTTGATCTATTGCTTAATCAACCTTACTTACAATAGTCTGATTCCCAATAATTGTCGGTCAAACTATATGATTAGAGCCATGACGTGAAACTGTCTTTTAATAGGTTTAAACACTGACCTACAAGGGGCGTCAGTAATCATTCCTCTTCGACAACATTATTTGACTAAAATATAGGTGGTTTGGTTTGGTTTGTTGTTTATCGCCCGTCAGCAGTATTCCAGGTATACGCAATTGGGTAGACTAACGCTTATACTTAGTCTCTGACCAGGTATACGCAATTGGCTAGACTAACGCTTCTAATTAGTCTCTGACCAGGTATACGCAATTGGCTAGACTAACGCTTCTAATTAGTCTCTGACCAGGTATACGCAATTGGGTAGACTAACGCTTCTAATTAGTCTCTGACCAGGTATACGCAATTGGGTAGACTAACGCTTCTAATTAGTCTCTGACCAGGTATACGCAATTGGGTAGACTAACGCTTCTAATTAGTCTCTGACCAGGTATACGCAATTGGGTAGACTAACACTTCTAATTAGTCTCTGAATATATAAAATTTTGATGGTGACAAACAAATTGAAAACGAGCCCCAGGACCAGGGATTCAGAACCTGAACCTGAGTAAATCTAGACTTGCTTTATTTAGGGCTTTAGCACTGCAGATAGGGCTTGGCAGTAGGGAAAATAATGTGGTTCTGTGACAGACTAGCAATTGGGATACGATGACATATATCAACCAGGTCAGCGAGCCTGATAACCCGAGCCGTTAGTCGCCTCTTACGACAAGCATGGGTTGCTAAATACCCAGGACCTTCACGGGTAAAATCTACATGACCTTCAGACAACGTGCACTCTCAGAATGTAAGCGCAAGAAAGCGTATCCATCCGCGATGACCCATGGTGTGTTTTCTTCATTCTTTTATGGAAAGGAAAAATACTCTGCTCGCTGACTGGTTGACACATATGTCATTGTATCGATGTTCATGATGTTGATCACTGGATTGTCTGATTCAGACTCGATTATGTACAGTCCACTCTCATATGAGTGCGGCGTTAAACACCAACCAACCAACCAACAATACAGTCGTGTCTGGGTCAGGCAATAAAGTGACCTTCAACTCACACATTTTGATACGATAACATGCAATCAAGTCATAGGCACCCGACTCTGATATATTTATAAGTATGAGCTTATATCTTATACATATAGGTCATACATACATATCAGAGTCAGGCGCCTATGGTTTGACCATCCGGTTTCAAAATCGATACAAACTAAATGTCTCAGCTATTATATACAAATCAGCAAAAGAAACGTCAGTTGGGAATTTTCCTTCGCAGAAACGGATAACTGTAAACTCATTTAATGTTTTGATTGTATATTTTTGACAACGTCTCCAACTTTACCTGAGCAAAGACATTCCTTCCCAAACTCAGAATGGAACCCAGGAAATGGTATCAAAACCGCAACCTGATCTCGGAGATGGTACGGTGTTCTCTATGTTTGTCATGCAACTCATGCTGCACGTGCTGTTCACAAGGACCAGCCCTATAAAATGCACCCCCAAACCTGGTTGAAACATTCACATTACAACGTCAGTAGGATGCCCCTTCTCACGACAGCTCAGAGGAACCAGGCGCTAGGAGACTGGAAGCTGGCCACACTGCACAAGCCGTTCCAAATCACTTCCAGGACAACGTTTGGACCATCTACAGGCTGCAGCAACGTTTCCGGGCCACCAACACCACAAATGATCGCCCCCGTACTGGCAGACCAAGAGTGACGAAACGACGCCAAGACCGCCATGTTGTGCGACAGCATGTACAGAATCCCTTCATGCAGGCATCCGAAACAGCACGCCAGACAGTGGAAACACACGGAAGACCAATCAGTACTGATACACTACGCCGACGTCTTAACAGCGGGGACCTCCATTGCCGTAGACCTTACCGGGGACCTATCCTCACCCCTCGTCATCGGCGTGAACGTCTACTGTTTGCCCTACAACACCAAAACTGGCGATACAGGCAATGGAGAACTGTTTTGTTTACTGATGAGAGTCGGTACTGCGTATATCAACTGCAGATGGCAGAACAAGGATATGGCGACGCCGTGGCCAGCGTTACTCAGACCAATGTGTTATGGAAAGAGACTCATGGGGAGGTGCAAGCATCATGGTATGGGGTGGAATAGGCCTGAACCAGTGAGTGGGTCGTGTGGTGTTCCGGAACCTTGGTTCAGGGAGAGGAGGCGGCATCACAGCGGTGCGCTACATCGCCCAAGCTCTCAGACCCCACGTCATACCACATTTCGCACGTCACCGGAACAACATTTTACAGCATGATAACGCCCGGGCCCATACTGCCAGAGCTACACGGGACTTCCTACAGCAGAACGGTGTCAACATTATGCAGTGGCCAGCCCTTAGTCCTGATTTAAATCCAGTTGAACATCTTTGGGATGAAATTAAGAGGAGACTGAATAATGTCATACCAAGGCCGAACACAGCCGATTTATTGCGCCAGGCCTTTCTCAGAGTGTGGTTCAAGGTGCCAATGGCCTTCATCAATCGATTGGTGCACTCCATGCATAGACGCTGTGCTGCAGTTATTGCCTCTCGTGGTGGTCACACTAGATACTGAAGTCAAGAGTCTGAATGAACTGCAAACGTTCACGTGATGTCTTGAAATTGTACTGAGTTATTAATTGATGTGTCAAGATATTGTACACAAATAATGTTTTTGATCGGCTTATTATGTCCATTTCTGTAATGATTTGATTACAGTGCCTATCTAATTTTTAATTCGTGCTGACGTTTTTTTTTGCTGCTGAGTATATATGAGGAACGAATTGAATGACAGCATTGCCAAAGGTAATATTTTTTTGTAATTTTATTAGGGAATTAAAAAAATAATAAAGAGATGGGATGCTTTTGGAAGTAAATATTTGCGTATATGTAATTATACTGTTACAAGTAATTATATGTATAAAAGTTACATAAAATAGTCATGTTCAATAGACTGGGATTTTAAATAATATTTTCCTAGTTCTCAGTTGATTTTTATCATTATTTTGGTTACAGAAACTGCTGCTCTATTTTGCCACCAAGATCTTTTCCGCCATGTTTGTTGTGAGAGAACGCAAAACCGAAACTGCGAAACCTGCCTCGGAGGTGGTTTCGAAGTTTCAGAACCTGGTTTAGGTTTCGACATAAACGAGTGCATGGTTTTCCAGAAACCAAAACCGCTTTAGCATAATCGAATAGGCCCCTATAGCTAGTTACACTTGATGACCCTGAAACCGCCTGACGTCACATGGCAAAGTTTCACAAATTACGTCATATATGGTGTTGCACATATGTTCACAAAGAACTTAATTAAGCACCTCCTGTTTTTTGTAGTTGTAATGATAGGTTTTCAAAACGTACATAAAACTTCTCGTGGTGACCACGAGTCTTCCTTACTCCTATAATCCTTTGACTCATAAAAAAAGATTGGAATCCATGTTGATTTTATGATGATAATTGCTCATTTTAAAAAAACAACAACTGATTTTCATACCAAACCATGTCTGTACAAGTATGGCCCTGGAATATTTAATGTTGAATTTATTGGTGAATGTGAACATTCAAAATGTCATTTTGCCTGTCTTACACGATTCAAGGTCAATACCGAGTGTAATCTCCATGTAACTGTATGATAGCAAGCCCCCTCCTCATACCCCTGTCAGCCTCCTGGTCCTCTGAAGGGGCAGTCTACACCATTCCTGGCGTAAAACAGCTTCCATTTGGGCCAGGTTCTGTACATGGGGATCCCTTTGTTGGACACGACGACCAATCATGTCCCAGCTATGCTCTAAAGGGTTAAGATAGGGACTCTTTCAATCGTGAGACAGGGGGTGCTTAACTAAGTTCTTTGTGTATATTGAGAAGTGGAAACTTGTGAAGTTTTTGGTTCTGAATTCTTAATGTAGACTCATATTTAACATGCTTCCAATAAAACTCCATTTTCAAGTGTGCGATTGAAAATGATATTGCATGAAAATATCTGAGAACAAATAGCAATACAAAAGTGTAATCAGCCGCGTAGCAAGCCAATGTTTTGTGTGCAAGCCCGATAGGTTGCAAAGCTTCTAAATTAGATATTATCTTCCCCAACCTTTTTAACAACAATTATATGTAAGCCCATGCTTTTGTTTTATAATGGTAGCTACACCCCTAATAATCATTCTCGTCCTTTCAGACATAACGACCCAGTTCATGTTTTTAGTGACCGGCTTATGAACAGTAAGTAGAGTTGTTTCCCTTGGATCATTTCCTTTTTCCGAATGATAAGAATTAGACCATGACAACCTGGAAAGGTGTCCTTTTTGTGATTTGTGCTGCCATTGAGACGTGATTTCAGATTGTCCGAACATGATTTCAACGCTTACTGTGTTTATTTGTCTATCTTATTTAATTCCAACAAACAGCCACTTTGAAAAAGAGAGTGAGCCGCCGAAGTTGCTACTGATTTCGTTCGATGGATTCAGGTGGAATTATTTGGAACGGACAGGTACTCCGAACTTCGATGTTTTTTTGAAAAATGGAGTACATTCAAAGAATGGTCTGAAGAACGCGTTCATTACCAAGACATTTCCAAACCATTACACACTGGCGACGGGATTGTGGGAAGAAAGCCATGGGATCGTGGCCAATACGATGTATGATCCAAAACTGAACGAAGTTTTCACCCTGGCAAATAGAGCCGATCAGACCAGTGCTAAATGGTTTGATGACGGCGGTGAACCTGTGTGGGTGACGAACCAGCTTCAAGACTCTCACCACAGAACCGGTATAGTCATGTGGCCGGGAGGAGGTGCTCCTGTCAAAGGTGTCCAAGCTACAAGGAACATATTGTTTAATCCATCTGTTAAAAATGAAACAAGAATAGATACCATTTTAGATTGGTTCACATCATCCTATCCTATCAACCTCGGTCTTCTTTATTTTGAGCAGCCAGACCAGTTTGGTCACCAATTTGGACCCGATTCCATCCAGGTGACAAGAATGATCGGCGGTTTGGACAATGTAGTCGGTTATCTGTTGAAGAGTATGAAGGAGAAGGGCTTGTTGGAAAATACAAACATTATCATAACAAGCGATCATGGATTTTCAAGCACTCCTCCTGAAAATGTTATAAATTTGGATAAATACATTGATCCATTGTCATACAAAATATTTGCAAGTAACCCAATTGGAAATATTTTGCCAAATGAAGGTGAGTTGAAAATACATTGCAGAACTGTCTTGTTGAGCAATCAATGTTATTAAACTAATTGTCAGTATCATTTAATTCAGAAGATAACATTTTAAGCAAAGTAACACATTATATTCCCCTGCTTTAATCTGGTATGCTTATCTTTTTATGTTCATATGTTGTAATACTTGGTCTTCCTACGTGCCTTTTCTACCTTCAACAGCTGTTACTATAAATTTTTTCTCCAAGCTGTCTTGCCAAACTACAACTGTCTTATAGTGGTAGAGACCTCTATAGAACTAAGAAGTATGGACAAGCCGCTTTGAGCAGAAATAAGACTTTTCCATAGGCGCCCGACTCTGATATATTTATAAGCATGACATATATATATATATATAAGGTATCTAAGAAAGGTGTGTCAGTAAATCGAAACAAAATGGCTGCTCTGCTCGGCTCTGTTTCGGTCTGACAAATGCTTCCATCGCTTTGACCGTTGAATAAACTGCACAATTTATACTCAGTTGACCTCTGTAAAGTACCTTGCGTATCACAAACCTGGTTATTTTATTCCCATTTAAAGCTTTCAATGATTTTGCCGTACATACTCGCACGAAGTCAGGACATATGCCCGGAAGTAAACAAATTTTCTAATTAATGTTTTTTATAACTAATACTGTCATGCAATGAAATGCACACATGCATGAAAGACACTGGAATTGTAATTAAACAATAAAAGTGGTTAAAACTTTACAATGCGCCTAGCTTTACACTGTTGAGTGCATGTTTGTTCGTGAATGTTCGTCAAATGTAATGGTTAGTTTACTTCATTCAAGTGTGTTATACTAAAACAACAAAATTTTGATTATTTGGAAATATGTTTTTCATAATCGATAAGTATTATTAATCCTTCTTTCGAACGATTTTCAAATATTTTCGATCGATTTTCGATCATCAGAACACCACTAGGGGTTATGTGAGACGAGTCCCATGTTATGTTTACAAGTGAATAGAATACCTGAGAGGAAGGAATTCTGCATATTTCACAACCACCTGTCTACAAGTGTTATGTATGAAAATAATGAAACAAAATTAAGTGCAGTCATTAACAGTTGTACAAGTTATTGAATGACATGAATGAAACAGTAAAATGAAAAATTAGATGATCAAATTTTGACAAACATTTGGGCAACACTGGAGATTTGTTCACATCAAATTTCCCCTATGTGCATTTATATTAAAAAACGGAAATTCACTATTTTCTGAAAGCTTATTCATTGTAGATTCAAGATATATATGTGGGTTTTTTAACTTCTTTTGAATTCTATACATAAAAAAATTACTTTCATTTTCAACGCATTATAAATATCATAGCATGCAGCTTGATATTAATTATGTTCAGTGATTGATAATTTTTAATCTCACCCAATAGAACATATGGTTACACTAATTCCATGCTGAGACAGAGGCCCAGATAAGCTGCGTGTCCGGGTAAAATACGCATATAAAATTTCCAATTCCGCATTGAAAAATAATTGTTGCGTACCAATTACGCATTTAAAATGTTAGATATGCAAAAAGTTTAAAACAAATCGCGTACGGAATATATTTATAAAAATCACTTGCGTAATGAAAAAGACATCGATTGCTATCAAGTTGTACTGTTAGTATAGGACAAGTGCTGTACTGTCCATTTAGGATGAGGGATTTTTTATGAACTCATTTCCATTATATTTAAGTTGGTTTTGATTAGGTATGACATAGTCATAAGGCAGAACATACCTGCTTAGTAAACTTACTCAGTCACATAATACTTAGGTGAGTAAAATGACTGAAATACGCGACGTTTGAAAGCAGTGGGTAACGGAAAATGAAATACCCACTCAACATTCATAATACGCACTCCAAAAAAATACAGCGGGTACAGTACCCACATGAGCTAAATCTTATCTGGAGCTCTGCTGAGAGATATGACATGGTTGACAGATCACCCACATCATTGCACTGGTTGTATCAGCCTTTGACTTAAACAAAGATCTGGAGCCAGTGTATATTAAAATCTGTTCACTTAAGTAAGCTCAGGTAGTACAAGTCCATAGATAACACTAAATATTAGGGGTGTCACGATACACCAATCTCACGATACGATACGTATCACGATATTAAGGTCACGATACGATACGTATCGCGATACATAATTTTCATAGCATAGCATTACCTTACCGGCAACGTACGCGTTCGCTGATTGGTCCATCAAAATAGTCTAGCCAATCACAAAGGCTGTTAGTTTCCAACCTATTTTTTTTAAGTAAAGCTAGCTACATCTATTTATCGAAGAGGTCTCGTATAATTTTACTATCAAGACTTTGAAGGAGATGGATATAGCATAAAAATTTGAATCGATAAAGTTTTAAAATAGGAATCGATACACGCAAGCATGTATCGTGTATCGTATCGTCAGTAAAAATGTATCGATGCATCGATACATTCGCAGTATCGCGACACCCCTACTAAATATACCAAAAAGGACAGTAGGAGCTATTTGTGAGTAGGTGACTGAAAAGTGTGTGGCACAGACTGTTCTGTTCTTGACAAGTGACGACAGCTGTCTGTACTGCTTGTCGATTTCATAGTTATTGACTTTTACCTCTGTCAATGAATGAATGTTATTGGCACTATGGCAGCTGATGATAAATTTGAATGGTCATTTTATCTTTAAAATATTCAACAAATATTGATCATATCTGGGACTTGTCATTTATTATGAGTGTTATGAAGTAATAATATGGTAAAAGAAGGGTTTACGATCACAAATGAATTGACAAAATTGCATACCGGTACTTTAAAAATTATAGATTGATTAAAAGAAGAAAAAAGAATTCCAAACTGTCCAACCTTATTTGAGATTGCAGTGATTAGAAATATAACATATCTTTTAAGGGTCTTAATGTAGAAAATAGAATCTGCTTGTATGTTCAGTATCACCCAGTCAGACACATTAGCTCCCAATGTATCACAAATACATATTGCAATACAAGTAATGAAATCACAATATACTGTAGCCTAGTGGTTAAAGTGTTCGCTCGTCACACCGAAGACTCGGGTTCGATTCCCACATGGGTACAATGTGTGAAGCCCATTTCTTGTGTCCCCTGTCGTGATATTGCTGGAATATTGCAAAAAACGGCGTAAAACCATACTCACTCCATATATTACAATGAAATATAATTGCCATTACACAACCCTTATGTGTTTATCAGATCATATAATGGATAGTGTTATCGTATACATATATTGTATAACACTCTGACGAGGTCACCCTTGCAAGTATGCATGTGATGTTGATGTGTTTCCTTATGTGCAGTGATAATGTAGACAGAGAGCTTCAAATCTTCTGGCGACCTCTGAAGATCCGTATTAGAATTTAGCTTCAGCAACCTGCTTTTGTCATAAGAGGTGACAAGCAGGATTGGGTGCTCAGGCTCGCTGACTTGGCTGACACATGCCATCTTATCCCACTTTTGTAGATTGATGCTCATAATGTCAATCACTGGATTGTCTGGTCCAAACTTGAATGGTTACAGACCTGTTGTCAAATTGCTGGAAAATTGCTGAGTGAGGCATAAAATAACAAATAAGCAAACATCAAATCTTTTTGGCAGAAACTGATAAATCATAAAAAATAAGTTCATTAAAACTTTCTATACATTAGCTAACATTATTTCATTGAGTGACGCTATCTACAATGTTATGAATGGCATAATCATGATTAATCTTGTTGTACATGTTACACCATAACGAGATGACCACTGTTAGTTTCTGTAAAGCATGAAGTAAATCATATGATATAAGTTGATAAGGCCTAAGCGGTATGAACAAAATAAGCTTTCAGATACCATTGTTTTTTCCCGGCACTGACAGACGTAGGTCATTCTGATAGGGAAAGTAGACATGATGATTAAAAAAAAGTGAAAAAAACAATCCTACCTACCCTAAATTTTAAAGAGATGTAATTGGAACCACAGCATTTTTTTTATTTGGCCTAAAGAATTATAAATATTCCAAACTAATTGTGACATTTCATATTTCTGTTCGTAATATATGATATATTTTGTGAAAACACATAAGTGTCACCATGGTCACTTTATATACATATATATGTATCATATATTATGAATAGATTTATGAACTATCATGATTAGTGCTCAATATACATGTATTTACAGGGCGTGGCAATATTATTACGTACAATTGTTACGGCGTTGATATCGTGTATAGCGATGCCTGTTTCTAAAATACTGCTCCTCAAAAACAACACCGCGTATCGTCTTAATATTTTATCACATGATCCACCATGATGTCACGTGTCTGTCACGTGACTCTATTTTTAATCCACTTGTCGTCTGCTACATATTCTGGCTATTTCTGGCAACAATGGGGAAATTGGCTGATTTGTCGGAGCCACTTAAGAAATTAATTGTAAAAAAGTTTCAAAGTGGCGAAAAATGTTCTAACCTTGCAAGATTCTTTGGAATGCCTCGAAGCAGCGTATAATTGGTGGTAGAGCGGTTTAACCAACGTGGATCAGTCGAGAATGCCCTCAGAACAGGCCGTATGAGGAAACTGACTCCTCGGGACAATCGACAACTTTTGAGGTTGGTCAGAAACAACAGGATTTCACCTTTGGGTGAAATAACTGAGAATTTAAACAACAATAGGACTACATGTGTATTGGGGAGGACTGTAAGGAGACGATTACATGAAAATAAATTTCATAGACGTGTTGTTAGAAAGAAAATCCGAATTCGTGACTATAATGTCAGAAATTGTTTGGCCTGGGCAAGGGGGCAACGATATCGTACAGTGAATAATTACTGGAATTGAGTAATCTTCCCTGACGAGTGTAAAATTATCATTGGGGAAAACAATCTTGTTTATGTTTGGAGACCGCCCGGTGAAGAATACCTCCCTCAATGTCTTTGTCCAGGACGATAGGCACACGTCAATTTGATGGTGTGGGGTTGTATCATCTGGCATGGTGTTGGTACCATTTGTGTTGTTAATGGCAACATAAATGCTCAGAAATACACAGAAATCCTAGATGATATGCTTTGGCCCGTTACAGCCAGACATTTTCCGGGAAACAGGTACATCCCCTGTACATCGGGGCTGTGTTGTACAGGATTACAAGCGACAAAATGACATTACTGGAATGATTTCCACCGTCGTGATGTTGCTGGAATATTGCTAAAAGCAGCTTAAACTATACTCACTCACTCAGACATGGATGAGAATTTTCTGCGGAATTCCAGGAATTTCATAAGGCCAAGGGTCATTTTTGTGAATCGTCTAAATTCGTTGAGAAATATTGGAGGGGGTGGGGGGGAGGAGAGAGCGAGAGAGGTGTTGCTGTGTTCATGATAATGTCTTGTCATTTTTGAGCCAGTTTTAAAGGTCTAAAATGCCTAAATATCAGACCCCCGGCTAGTTTTCAGAATTTTTCTCAAAACTTCCTTGTCATCCCTGCTCAGTCTGGCTTCCCCCACATCAAGCTGACACGATGAGATATAACTGGAACACTGTTCAGATGGGTGTAAAACCTGAATATTTCACTGTAATGATACTGACTACATAAACTGGTGTGTTGTAATGCTGGAATGCTTCTCCTTACAGGTCTGCTTGAAGAGCTGTATGCAAATCTGACGGCAGGATCCAAAGCTGAAGGTCACTTCACAGTTTACAAGAAAGAGGACATACCAGACCGGTACCACTACAAGCACAATGACAGGATTATGCCGCTCCTTGTTGTGCCTAAGGACACTTACCAGCTTACCAGGAATGGCACAGTTGTAAATGAATGTAGGTGGCAGAGTGAGTGAGTGAGTTTAAATGAATGTAGGTGGACAATCCAGTGATCAAAGTGAGTGAGTGAGTTTAGTTTTACTCTGCACTCCAGCAATATTCAGCTCATCGGATAAAGTCAGAAGTAGATAATCAAATTTGAGAGTTGACATGGCCAATTTTACTCACAGACAATCCAGTGATCAAAGGCATGAGCATCGATATACACAATTGGGATGCAATGACAGTTTTGTTAATATTTTGTCAACAAAGTCAGTTTTTGTACTGTAGTAACCTGACCACCCGATCCCGTTAACCGACGACAAGCATGGGTTTAGTACTAAAGATCAATTCTAACACCCGATCTTCACAGGTCTGTAAGCGCTTTACGGAGAGGCACACTTTTCAATAAAACACTCTTCTTGTTGAATGTTTCTGAGAGTTAGAATGACATGGCCAGTTATGAATTTTACTCATTGAGATTCATATCATAAGATATCAGCTAGACAAAGAGGTTTACTGTAGACAACACGGTGACGTACGAGATTAGTATGCAACCCCAAGCTTTAAACGTGGGTAATAATGTAAGATATCAAGGAGTTTTGGTAAGCCCCAAGCTTTAAATTTTAAGGAGTCGCAATTTTCTGTGCAGAATTCAACAAGTCTGGGTTTGAATCCCAGTTTCAGGTTTGAGTTATAATGTTGCAGTTGTGGTTGTGCCTGCTGCTGTTTATTGGGTTTGTTGGTGCACTGCTTCATGCTGCCATATCAGCCAGTCTTTCTTTTTGCATTTTTACAAAAATTTCATTAAATTCTGGACAGTTATGATGTATTTAAAAGGACCGGAAGATTATTATTGTTACTTTTTTTTTTTACCTAGAAATCGATGTTCACCAGAGTATGAAATTTGTTAGAAATTAATGATTTCCAGAGTGTTAAGATTGAGGAGAGATTTCTCCATGCTTTAAGAAGTTATGGCTGTTTATTACATGGCTCATAAAATTTGAGACAAATACTGGTGGAATTGCTGGCTGTGCAATTTAAATGGACTTTTAATTTTAGTGTCCTGGACCCGGTTGTATCAAACTTTAATAAAGCTTTAATCGTTAATTAAACTATGATTAGTTAATCATTGATTATCTTCAGTTGCATGAAACCCTTAATAAAGGAATCCATTCATTAATCCATCATTAAGCTAATGAAGGTTTGGGGGTATCATTAACTCGTCATTAGCTGTATCAACATGGCATGGATCTCTACACTTTGAGCTTCTGCAAATAGATAGGATTTTTGGTTTTGGTTTTTTAAATTAGATATAAAATATGCCACCCTTCCACAAAGTAACTGAAAATAAAATAAAAATTACAAATGCAAATACGGACCCGAGCCCAAAAAAATTGCCACTTAACTTAATTTCAATAGACTTACATGTGAATTTAGTGTAGAAAACACAATTTTAATTTAATTAATTCTGGTGGAATCGGAAAATTCTGTCGAAATTATGTGGGTGTAGCTGAGATGATTACTGTGCTCACTTTAATTAGGACCCAATGAAAATTAAATTCATGGAAAATATTTATGCTACACAAAATTAACATACCGTACTATAAGTCACATTACTAATACTGTTGACACAGGCCTGTATTTCCTCAAAGCGCTTTTATTTGATGTAATTACATTACGAGTTTTCGATGATAATTCCCTGAAATATTCTAAATTTTAAAGCATAATTAATAATAACAGCAGCGTCAAATGCTTCTGTCTGTTACTAACTTTGCTATATTTTTGCACAACCTTTTAATATTGTAAGCTTCTTAAATATTTACATTGTGAGAAACATAATAGGAAGCGTATGCAAAGTGTAACGGGATGGGTTCCATGTACAAAAATAGTAACAGGGGACTTCACTCTTGTGAGAAAAAGTGGAACGGCCTTCACATTGATTTGGATATTCGTTGAAAGAGGACGACGTTATGTACAGCGGGTGAAATGTGATTGAATAAAGTTCAACTGCATTGTACAGAAGGTAAGAATATGAAATGAAACTGTCCCATAATTCGACATTATGTTTTGAAGTCATAAGCTAGCCTATGTCTTCGATCTACTTGCTATTTTGTTTTAATACTTGCATCGACATACATAGAGAATACTACGAGGTCTCATTACATATGAATTATACGAAACGAGTGTCCTTCCTATGGTTTCTGACCTCGCTTTCGCTCGGTCAGATACCGTAGGAAGGACACTCTTTTCGTATAATTCGTATGTAATGAGACCTCGTGTAGTATTCGTGTCACAAGCTTCGTATAATTCGTATGTTATCAGACCGAGTGTGGTATTTTATGTATTACCCACGTTTTACATGCTTTAAATTGACAAAATAGCCCACTCTGGCCACACCGTTGAAACATGCGGAATCCGAATAAATATCCATGATTTTCTCGATGGAAGAGAAAACAGGCTTGGGACATGGACCGCCACCTGTTTTTTCGTTTGAATTTTTCTACCTGAAAACTCTTTTTTGCATTTTGAAAAATATTATTCCATTTTGTCTTGATTTCTTTGGACGCCCCTATTGCTTACCCCAAGGCTATTGATCTCGGCCGTTATTTTGTCCCATATCTGCTTCTTTTGTCATTAATTATTGAGTTGGTAAGTTTGCTGTTTAGCACAACCGATATGATCTTCAACTAGATCTGTTAGAAGTTGTATTTCACAACTTTCAAAGTTTTTGCTGCGATTTCTGAAGGCAGCCATGATGCAGACGATCGATGAGTGTTTACATGCAATGCATCATGGATAATAATTAGGGGATTCCCCTAAGTTAATCATGGTTTAATGACGGGACCTTTATTAGAGGCATACTTAGTTAATGGTTGTTTAAATAAGGGTTTATACAACCGTATTTAAACACTTCATTAACTAATCAAACATTAAGTATTTAATCAGTGATTAGTGTTTAATTGATGGATTACATAATTACGTGTTGATACAACCGGGTCCTGTTAATCAATCTGGTCTCAAGGCGAAGTTTAATTGAATCATGAGTAATATGTATATGTAAAATGGAGACTATGGTAAATTATGGTTATAACAAACTCAAAAGGACCACTTTTTATAGTGCATTATAACCATATTTTCTAGTATACATTTCCACTAAAATATACAGCAAGTGTCTGGGATAAAAAAGAAGTTGGTTATATCCGTCTGTTCATTTTAATACAAGCATGGTTATTTTAAGGATAGTTTAGTGTGTGATACAATGGATAATGGACGTCATGTTCATGTGGAGCAGACGTGTTTGGGTTAGAGCAGACAGCATATACAGCAATTGGCCGGTACAAAAAAAAAGTTTGTTATTTCCGTCAGTTCATAAGACAGGCATGGTGATTATATTAAAGCATAGTTTAGTGTTTGACACAATGGACAATGGAATACTTGTTTGAGGGAAGCAGACGTGTTTTGTGGGGAGCAGACGTGTTTTGGGGAGAGCAGACTAGTGGTGTTTCGATTAATTGAAATTATCGAAGATTGGTCGCAGTGACCAAATGCCCATGCAATCGATCAGATATTTTCATTATCGAACAAACGATTTTGGAACTATTGTTTTAGTGTTTTAGAAACACTTGATGATGGAACATATCTTAGAAACTGGCATTGCCTGAAAACCTGTTTCATTCTAGAAAACTCACTTCACTACTGAAATGTCATGACTGAATATTTCTTGAAGACTCTGGGAAGTTTATGTCCATGATATATTAGTCATCACTTTAAAGTAGCAAGTTGCATCATTTTACATTGGATGTGAAGTTTGCAAATGCAATTTGCGCAGTTTCTAAATAAAACTAAAAACAACAGAGAACCACGTTATACTTATCTGCAAAAGCAAACCTGAATAGGAAAATTTGAAAAAATGATGCTAACCAATTTTTATTGATGATTGCCCGTTGGTAATGAACCAATTATCAATTGTGAGATTTCAACCAATTCCCAACACTAGAGCAGACGTGTACATCCCTTTATTCAACTACAGAAAGATAATGGTGGAATTCACCTATTCTGTTTGCTGCCAGATTGTGGACGACGGCAGTACAACACTGAATTTATCCCGTATCATTTACATTAATTACACGTCTGCTGGCCAGATGTATGAGCTTATTAGATATAACGTTCAGTATGTGAAGCCCCAGAAGCAACAGCAGCATCTGTTACAGGCTCTCGTAGAGATGATTAATTGTCATCAACACTAACACCAGCTGATATACGGCTAACCCAGCGAGTGATTGGTATGTAAATGTGCGATAATAAGCTGTCTATACAAACAGAGGAAAGAGTGAATATAAATTGAGGACCAGGGTTCTAGTGGAGAATTGAGTGAGATGAAGATGTTACCGGTACCTTTTTTTTTAGCTTGGAGCTTCAATTACATCAGTCTGTGCCTAATGCCACAGCTGATTCTAGCGTAATTCTGTTTGATCTAGTAGGTTATATTGTCAGTACTTCATGCAGGGTCTTACACGACACGCAAATATGCGTCCACTATGCACAAATGTAGAGAATGGACGTAGAAAAACAATTCATTGCATCAAGAGGAGCGCAAAATTTATTCATTGTACCCACAACACATCTTTGACTTTGCTAAGTGTTTATCCATCAGCCCACATGATCAATGATTCATTCCAGGCTGTCAAGAAATTATCAAAACATGCAGTTGTCTACACTGTTATTTCGCAGGATCCTCGTATTGTCTGCAAGGACCCTTAAAACTAATAAATGGGGGTCTCCGCTACACCCATGTTTATGAGTTGAGGTAAAACCCTGTTAATGGGTTTGTTTAAACTGCAAAGACAACACAGTTTCAGAAAATACGTAATTTCGAAAGAAACAAATAATTTTAATTAAAAAGGTGCACTGTTGAGATGAAATTCAGATACTGAATCTGTGGAAAAATAAGAAATTCCAGGTATTGGCAATTCCGCTGAGGATTCATTGAATTTAGTTCTCCTTCTCATTGTGAC